GAATGGAGAAGGGGGGGAGGAGGGAGGAAGAAAAGTGAAAATCCATTTTGAAACCCATTTTCAATTAGGGGTCCACAAGCTGTTATCACAGGTGTCCCAGAATGGGGGCCCGTAAGTGAAAATGTCTCCTATCCGTTTCTGAAATGAAACCTTATCTGGGAGGCACAAAGATGGCGGGGACAGCGTATCTGTAAATTACTTTCCATCCCCGCTGTTAACGGGAACTTTATTTCTGTCAGATGACATTCCCCTCTATTTACTGTTGATCATTTAAATGGCTGCCTAAAAAGAAGGTGGCCCCTCACTCTTTCCTCTATCTCCCCTCCTCCTCCTCCCTCTCCCTCTTTTCCCTCCTCCCTCCCTCCCTCTGTATCATTCTTCCTTCTCTCCCCCATCAGAAGATTATTTTTCAATGTAGTCAAGTGCTCTTTTTCTTCTTTAAACACTTTAGCCACGCTCTCCATTTGCGTAAGGGATTTCTCTGGTAACCTACACGAAAGCCGCGCATTTGTTGCCCTTTAAGGCTTAACTTGTTCGCCTCTGAGACCCTTCCTCTTGCCCTTTTAAGCATGACCATTAAAAAAGGTCTCCACTTTTGTAATTTACTCTCCGTTGTTAAAGCCGCATCCCGTGACAATTTTCTGACCCGGGTCCAGTTTTTCTCCTCCTCATCCCTTTACTTCCTCAACAGCACTCAGAACATAAAACCAACCAGAAACTTTTACCCTTCTATCTCTCTCCTGCAAATAACCAGTCTTTTAGCTCCCGCCCTGTTTTCTTTTCTTTTTTTTTATTAGTAAATTATCCCATGACGACAGGATTTATTCAACCAAGAAGCACGGACATCTTTTTTTTTTTTTTTTTATCGCTGGACTCAACAAAAGAATCAGGGGACTTTGTGGTCCACCTGCCTGCCGAATGATGAGGACTGGAGGGGAGAGAAACCCCACCTCCCCTCCCACCAAACCCCTCCTAAAGAGCACCAATCACAGCATTGTTGTGGCACAGTCGGCCCTTTTGAGCTGTCACTGCGAGAGGAGGGGGCACGGAGATGAATGGCACACAGGATGAAGCCACCATTTAGCCAACCATGTGGGAACGCTCTACCGGGGACTCAATAATTACTCTGGGGCCTGTTCAACTTGGACAACTTCGGGACAAGAGGGGAAGAAAGAGGAAAAGTTGAGAGCGAGCTACAACATCTGATCAGATCGATACCTGTTCGCAAAGTCGACGCCAAGCCGCAGAAAAAAGGCCTGCGCTTCTTGGTAGCAGAGCTTACTTTGGAAAGACCCAAGCTAAACATCCGCCACGTCCACTCTACCCGCCCCCCTCCTAATTATTTTCCACTTTTCACAACTTATCATAGCACGCTATTGCCGGGCGCACCACGGGGTTTCCGCTGTGCTGAGATCAGGGGCCGCTGCTCTGCTTGACGGGGGGAAATATTTCGCCGGGGCCTTTTCCTAAGAAGAACCAGTCGCCGGGGTTCCACAGCTGCTCACAATTACCTTTTGTTTGCATGGAGGCAGCGGGGCAGGGGCTACGAGGGTTAAAGTTGAGGCGAGTGTAGAGTTACACCTGATAAGAGGTTATGAGTTCTGGGGGCGAATTGGGAATGCGCTGTAATTATAACCACACAAAGAATGTGTAAGCTATCTTATGATTCCAAGAGAGCGATTGGGGATCTAAAAGGGACCTTTTTCTCTGCAGATAAGTATCATCCTTCCCCATCGTCCAGTGAGTTATGAGACTACTGTACTTTAAGGGAGTGCAACTTTTGCGTGGCGGAGAGAAGAAACCTTTCGAGACAAACCTTGCGCTGCTCAGAGCTGTAATTAGCAGCACATTACTAAGAAAAATCCACAATCACGGAGCCAAATTACATCCATGCTTTTTCCACAACAAACTTTCCTTCCTCGCCGTCCCTCTTAATGAATCGAACAGTGCCGGCCATCTGGGAATGAGTAAGAGCGAGAGCGTTCCCGAGATGCTTCAGGATGCATTACCTTACCCTCTTCCTGCGATAACTCCCATATGGAAGAACGAGCCACGGCGACTTATTCACCCTTTCGTGATCGTGTTTGACATCAGCGGAGTCGAGAGCCGGGTGTCAGAAAACGCTATCAGGCCACCAGCTCCAGCTCTTGCCGCTCCGCACCCAAAAAAACCCTCCAAATCCTCTCACTGCTAATGAGCACAGCTGCAGCTTAGGCCGTGGTGATCTCAACTCTGGGTTTGTTATGACTTTAGTTCGATGATCCAAGGCTTTCCAGTCAGAAAAAAAAAAATATCACTGTCTAATATTTCTGATTCCGTCCCCAGAATTGAGAATGAAAGGCAGGATGACGACAAGCTTAATGAACTGCAAGCTCTGCGCCACTTTTAATAGCATGTGTTAAAGACATTGCTATGTAAACATGCCAAGGTTGCTACCAGCGAGCGTTGCACCTAACTCGCCGTGAACCATGAGAAGAGAGGAGAGGGTCATGTGCGAGAATCTGTGCGTGTCTAAATCTTTTAATCGTGTTTTGGCGAGTTGGTCAACTTTATCATTAAATAATGAGAACGAAGGCACAAGAAAGTTCCTTGGTTCCCAGTAAATCAGGGGCTCCAGGGTTTAGGTTTGTTGAGTGATGGATGGTGACATATTGTAGCCCAACCTTGACTCCCAAAAATTACATTCCTTTACAACTAAACTTCTCATTTACTTTTTGAAGGAAACGCATTTTCGCCCCGAAAGGTAAGACTGTGATGTTGTAGAAAAAAAGTCTCAAAAGAGCTGCAAAGTTGTCATTAGGCGGTAGGAGGGGAAGATTGCTGTACAAGTCAGCCTTACATTAGGTTTCCTTTCCATTTGTTGTTTACTTTTGGTTTTCGCTCACTTTAATTAAGTTTGGACACCAAAACTAGGTTGTTAGTTTGAGGAAAATATCATGGTTGGGTCGACACTTTCACAACATTTACTACATGCTAGAAGCTTGGCGAAGTAACTACCTGGTTAGGTTTTGGAAAATAGCACGGTTAGGGTTCAAACATAGCTGTTTCGCAACTTGTTTGAAAGTTCAACCCCCCTTATCAAGGTTACCAGAGTGATGAATCCCACCCTATCTAATATATGATTGGTTGGCTGAAAAGGGACGACACTCAAGCAGTGAAATAAACGACAAAGATACGCTGATTAGAAATATATGAGATATGTCACTAACAAATGTAATCCAGCTGAAAATGTATTTTACTCAAAATGTAACTGAAAATGTAGTTTAGTTGTATAGGGGTGTATTTTTTAGAAGACATGGCAAAGTAACATGTACATCTCAAGCTCACAGAGGTGTGGAAATGTCCTCATCAAAAAATGTTGGACAACAAAATTGGCTGGCCTTTGTGACTTTAAAGAAATGAGGAGGAAAACTTTTGAGTCAATGGTATGTTCACCCATGTGAAGATAAAGTTTGGATTTTACTTTAAGAGCTGTGGAACCCTGCATAAATCCTGTACAAGGTTTATTTCTAAAGACACCCTATGGTAAAAATCTACTTTTTTTAACTTTGTTTTCATGCCCACATGATGTTTTTTAAAGGCTCAAAGACATATCATGATCAAAATAGGCAGTCAAGGCCATGGCGGAGCATTTCCACCTGGAAACAGCAGTGTGTGGATGACCAGCTCAAAACCACTGATTCAGGCGTACAGGGTTTCATACCGAAGCAACCAATCTTGTCAACTTGCAGGTTGAAGTTTTCTGTATCATCTTTCTTCAGAGTCGGTTTCAGGTTTGCACACTCTTGACTGAAATTACTCCAATGATACAACTTGCCATAGTGTAGCTTAGAGTGGTTTTACAGTGTTAGGGCAGAGTGTGGTGAGCTGGTGTGCTTGAGCTGCAGTGATTGGGGAACGGTATGTAAAGAGAGAGGCCTAGATCTGCATATTCTAGAGGAAGCAACATTGCAAAGTTATAGCAAAGCCATTTGAATTTAGGAAGGAATTATTTTCATGGGAAAAACCTCTTTATATTTGACCCCCAAACATTAGCTTTTAAGGGTTAACTCAACCAAAGAAGGACTTTAATATCACTATGTAGGGGTGGCATCAAATGCATTCAGCTTTGGGCTCTCATTTTTCAACAAGTAAGCTAACTACTGGACCAGCTTCTTCAAACCTGACTATAGAATAACATTTACATGAACCACTGCAGCTCAGTGTGCAGTCAGAGTGAACTTGTACCGTTTGAGGTGGTGCTGGAGGCCACCGCCTTCTCGCTGATGTCGCTGCGTGCTGATGAGCCCTTGGTAGCCACAATGGTCTCCACCCTCTTCTTCTTCTCAGCTGCTGAACTGGCCTGGGACTGGGTTTCCATGGCGATTGTTCATTCCTCAAGACCTCATGGAGACGGGACGACTGGCGGGGAAGAAGAAGGTGGTTAACAGATGAAGCGCATATCACAAAAAAAAAAAAAATGAATCAAGCAACACCAACTTTCTTCTTGAAAGTGTTTGTGAAAAAGCAAATAAATCATCAGCTGGATTTGTGCATCAAGTTTTATTATGTTGATTTATGTAGAAGAAGAAAAGACTGCAGCACTTGTGAGGAAAACTTCAGATCCAACCCTCCCCTTTCATGATGTTCAGAGCAGACCACGGGTCAATCCATCGGCTCTGATCTGCCTTCAGAGGCCCCATCTCCTCCTCCGCCAACTGTGGTTAAATATCCCAAAACCAAAATTTTGCTTACCTTATTTTCAACTATGCCACACTAAACTTCTGACTTCTTGTCAAAAAAAACCCCAACAACTCTATAAACAGAGTAAGGCAGGACATCCTGACGAGGTTTTATATCTCAGAATAGAAGTAAAGGCAGCTTGTGGATATACTGATAATCCTGCTCCAGCAGTCTTTCCAGAGAGAAAGGAGAAACCTTAAGGGGATACCACAGAGAGAGAAACATTCACAGTCCTGAAAAAACAAGGGTTGTTTGAAGGCCCTTTTGGGAATATCATGGTGCCGGGCAATTTTTCTTTCAAAGAATAAAGGTGGTTCAAGTTAATACTGTCTGTGGGTTTAGAAGGGGTTCAGCCAACAGTCTAGCAGACATGCTGCTCAGTTCAGCACCTCAGAGGCCGTCTACAAGCTCAACTCTATCTAGGTCATGGAGGTCTCTGATTATGGAGACAACATGGTGATGCACCACAACTACTCATTTACACAAAGTACAGGACGGTCCCATTCAGTCCAATACAAAGCCTTTACTTAGACTCCATAATTCACGGATAATTACTGGAAATATTTAGTCTGACAAACATTTTCTTTACAATGAAGACCGGCTAATTACTCGACTGTGCTATTTAATCGTCCTCCGCTCCATAAACACGCACAGATACAAAGGCAGTAAAGTCAGCTGTAATGCAACAAGAGTGCTGCTGCTGAAACTAGAAGAAGGGGTGGGGAGGGCTGATTTTTTACCATCTCCCCAAGGAAGGAAGGCAAGGGGGAAGTGGTGAGGGGTAAACTTCAGACAAACACTGCGCGCTTTGTTTGTTTTTTTTCCCAACCCCCTGAAAAACCAGAGTCTGTCATCCATTCTGACCCGACAACAACATCTGTAAGCAATTGCTGGCTTACGAAAAAAAAAAAAAAAGAAAAAAAAAATGAGAAGGGAAAAAAAATAACACAATGCAATTACTCCCCTACCAATCAAAACAGAATTAAACAAGAGCTTGTCCTCTAATCACTCCCACATGAATACATGTGTAGCCGTCATCCCCTACCAAAGACATTTTTGTCCTACTTGCACAGATATCATCTCAAATCACTGCTGCATGTGTTTGATAGAGTGGATGCTTTCGTTTCTGGGGGGCTTTTTTTTTTTTCTTCTTCTTCTTTTTGCAGCGTGAGCGAGTTAATCGCTAGAATATGTGCGTCTGTGAATGCATATTTGGAAGTTATGATGACTGATCATAGGTGCCACTCAACGAGAGCACTCACTTCTCGGTGTTTGAAACTGTCATTACATCATTCTAATGACTGAACTCGAGTAAAAGCAGCGAAGGAGGGGGGAAAAAAGAACAAGGCGAGAACCTGCTTTACAGCTGTTACTGAAGAGCTCCCAACATGCTTTGTGTGCGAAGCGTGCATCCGTGTATGTGTGTGTCTTCTTATCGCCCCCAGGTGAGCGAGACCAGAGCCAAAAAAGAGCTGAAAGTGAAGTAAATATGAGGGTCAGGATTTGGGGGTTTGTATAGGGGTGTGAGGAGAAAGCGGAGCATTCCACTGGTCGGGCAAATATTCACAAGTCCAAGCCACTGAAGCGTGTCTGACGGGCCTTTTGTGTTCCACAAGGCAGGCCACAGTTCCAAAGCAGCAATTAAAAGCAGGACCTTTTCACCCATAATCCCTCTGACCTGGACGCCCACACCCAATCCTGCAGATGTTCCTGTCTCTGCCTTTCGTGTTGCTCATTTTTGCCCCGTCCAAGTCTCCTAAAACACTCCACGCAACACCGTGCTTTTACACGAAGACATCATTATGTGGAAGGAATGCTTCTGGATGTGAGAAACTTTTGCATAAAACGTTCATGTGAGGACAGAGATCGCTGCTCCCTGTGCCAACAAACACTAATCTACCAAAAGTCTGAAATCATATTTTTATGTGCATTTACACGAGGCAGCTGAGATACAACCATCTTTATGAGAACTACCTTACATACCCTGCCTGAGCAGTGTGTCGCAGAGGCCTGGCACAAAAGAACGACTTACAAGTAGGCATCGGATGCCGTTGTTACCCAGAATAAATGTTAATTTCATATTAATGTCTTTCCCATGAAATATCTGTCCTACACCCAATTAGAGAAGAGAGAAAGAGGGTGTATCTTTATTTGTGTTCAACTGTAATCCTTCCACACAGAAAGGGAGGCGATTAAACAGGTTTAAAATACCACAATTCAGACTGTTCCCTCAGAAAAAAAAAAAAAAAATCTTATTTTATAAGCACATTAAGCAAATCAATTTAACATAAATTATACGCCTTGGTGACAAAGGCACCGAGTTGAAAGTCATCTGCAAATTGTACACATCAAAGTGAAACACTAAAATAAACTTTTGCCTTTGATAGAAAAAAAAACAGTTTTTCTTTCTTCATGCAAGCTTAAACAAGTACTAATGGTATCAAAAAATCACTGCCTTTTGTTATTTAAAGGCGACGTCTTTACAAGCTTAATTTTATGAAACTGCTCAAGGTGTGCTTCTAATTTGGCTGCATTCTGCCATCAGGAACACATTTTGCAAATGCATGCACACACGGAGAGAGAAAGTGGGGGACATTTATATATAAACTCTTGAAGTGTCTTCTTAGATTTGGCTACCCCCCCTCACAGACGGGGTACTGTATTTGTGTTCATTTCATTAGGGCGACTGTTCAGTGTCGAGGGCCCCCTGAGGGGGAGACTGGCAGCACCGCAGCATTCATCATCATTACATCAGCGACCACCGAGATCTGCTATCTTAGGCTTATCAACACTGCACAAACGCACCGCAGCACAGCGAGTTAGAGGGGAGGGGAGAGATGGGAGATGGAGACGATTGAGGGAGATTGTGAGCAAAAAGTGGGATAAGGGAGAAAATGAATGGAGGGGTGGGGGGGGGGGGGGGTGAGCGTGAGAGCGAGTGTGTGCGTTTAAGTGTGTGTTCGTGTATGCATGCATGCATCTGTGTGCACCTCACTGTGCCCCTGCATGCCTGCACATGTTTTCCTGTGTGTACAATGTGTGTTTTGCACGTTTCGCAGCTATGCCAACAATATTAAGGGCTCCTTCACAGCTGGAATAACTAAAACACCGAGGGGCGAAGAAGAAGGAGGAGGAGGAGGAGTCGGAGCCCTTGAGCAAGATTAGCTGAATCTAGCAATAAAACAGAATGTGCTGGCTATGGGCTGCATGTGTTTGCATTGGATGGGGTCAGAGTGAGGGGATGAGACCCCCTTAAGGAGACAGTGGAAGTGCTCGCTAGTGGTTAGAGGGCCTGTCATGGCTTCAAAATCCCGTACTCGATAGCTCTTTGAGGAAACCACATACTTGGGTTTCCATGTTGCGCTCCACACTGCACTTATGGCTTGCCCTTGGCCCTGGAAGGCAGAGGAGACGGGGGTGGGATTTGGGATTTGGTGGCTCCCATTCACCAGTTAAAACTTAACATTGTGCCCAGATGGCACTAAGTCTGGCCTACAGCTGATGGGGACCAGCCCCTCAAGTAAGGGCCATTTAGCAGGAATTAGTCACACCCTGCCACACACACACACACACACACACACACATATCGAATCCCAGAAATGCACATGCAAACTGGTTTAGTGCGAGATCTTCTCACCCTTTTGTGTACTGTGACACGGCTGAGCTGTTGGGATTCAGCATCATTTACATGTTTTCTATATTATCCTACGACGATGTGTGAGTCCAACTTTTTATTGTAAAGCTTCAAGTTAATGCATTTATTGATTCGGCAAATCTTCTTATGAATCCTGCACGGAAAAGTGAAAAATACTTTAAGCTTTTTCTGCAGTGACCGAAAACTCCTTAATTGATTTTAAAGGTGCCTCGTGTTAATAGCAATCAGCAAACAACTAGGACTGCTTTCACAAGTGCACGACACAACATTTGAAAATAAAAGGCCTGTTCAGATGAGGAGTGTTTTGGATGTTGTTGTTGTTTTTTTTTTTTTTCAAGGACAAACAGAGCGACAACACAGCTCATCAGTGTAGCTTTCAGCACAGCTAATAAGATTATCCTCGCATGCGTCTTGGTCCCTCAGACCTCTCCACTTACGATGCTTTGGAGGGCTGGTGAGGGACCCTGCGTGCTGCACAGCAGAATGAGCCGAGCGCATCTTACATTCCTGGGTAACAAACCCACACGATGTAATCATAACGCTTACACGATGCCTCTTTTGCGCTCGCTACCCAGTAGATAAGGGCCAAATAAAGCGTGTGCCACAATGGAGGACTTGCTCCTTTTCCCCACAGGCCCCTGCTTATTAGACTGTTTATTTATATATTTTGACTTTGCATTTGTTCTTGAACCACTTGTTTCAGGGCAAGTGGGGCTGTGACGACTGAGACAATGGATAATGCAGGCAGCTTTGTTGCCGTGGTGGCCCAGTTATGCGGTATTGGTTTCCCCCCCTCCCCTGCTCCCACTTGGTTCGTTTTCTTCCCATGCTAGAGCCTTTGTTTGATCGGACACTTTTCCTGATTCTTGAGGAGAAGGAAAAGATGCTTGTTCAGCCGTTTACTGGGGGCCAAAGCAAACAATGCAACCTATTACTTCAGCAGAATATCACGAAGATCCTTGAGAAGAAGAGAAAATCTCTCATTTCTATATGCAGAAGTTTCCTTCACTGTATCTAAAGAGTG